AAAAAATTATTTGAAAATGATTAAAGATGTATTGAATTCCCAAAACCATCAAAGGATATAACCTAAAATATTCAAAATTTAGTTGATTCAATTCCCTAAAAGTTATACAATTAACTTGAAAAATAATAATAAAATGAATAAAAATAAATTAAATAATAATAATTTAAATAATAATAAAGCAAATTCAAACTTGTTCTTGATGATAAAGTTTGGAGGCTTTACGAACAATGCATACCTAAAGCTAAAATGAAATTAGAATAATTAATAAATTTTTTAATTGAAGATTTAGATTAATATATTTTAGAAAGTGATGATACTATTAATTAAAAAAAATAATAAATGCAAAAAATCTAAAATATTTTATTAAACTAAATAAAACAGGATACTAAAATACAATAGGATATCAAAAAAACATAGGATATCTAAATAACATAGGATATCAAAATAAATAAGGAAAACTGTGAATATGTCCTTAAAGGTTTATCTGATTGGGTAAAGGGAAATCACCACTTAAAACATAATGATTTTTTCCTTTAATTATACATTAAAGATATGAAATCTATTTTAATAATATCAAAATATTGCTAAAATAATAATTAAATAGCACCATTTGAAATTAGAATTGATAACCTAGTTAATAAAATTAACACAATCCTTAAAATGATTGAATATTCCTAATCTAATACATATTTAAATAAGATTTATAAAAATGAATTGGAGAAATAATAATAATATGAATAATAGAATACGTGAAAGAAACTAAGATAGAGAGAAGCAAAAATGTAAATCTGAGATTTTAATTTTTGTTTACAAAATTATTCAATTGGTTATTTCATATATTATATAATTATAAAAAAAGAGATTAAGCAAATGTAAGAAATTAAAATTCTATACCAAAAGTTTCAGATGTTAATTCATCCTAGTTGATTATTATTAATAATTCTATTTAACAGGCTTCATTGAATAATATATCAACTTCAGTAAATTATTATGTATTTTGTTTTTATAATTAAAATTAATTTCAAGATAAACTATTTTAATAATAAATTAAAATAAAATAAAAAATATGAGTTGCAGCTTCCCTTTAATTTAATTGATTCTAAATATGCATCTATTTAAAATTAGTATACTCTCTATTTTATATTATTTATGTATATTAAGATTATTAATAAAAATATAATTAATAAATTAGATTATCTATTCCTATTAAGATAATTTATTAGATTTAGTTTTTTGATATTTCTATAATAAGTTCTTAATAATGAGTAGGCTGTAATATGATTATGATAAAAAATCAACATGTAATCAAAATACGACTATAATAATTATTTCAATACTTATTTTTATAAGTAAATAGCAAAGATGAAAAAAAAGAACTATGACGAGGATATAAGATTCAAGGTCAAATAGAGATATGCAACAATATCAGAATGGGCTTTTAAAACAATAGAATCTGAGAGAGTACCAGAAGCAAGAGCCAAATCATAATATAGTGGTCCTGTAAAGGTTCCAAATAAAGCAATGTATTTATTACATAACCCGTAAAATAAAATTTAATATTCTTAGATTTAAGAGTATTGATACAAAGAAACCAAAACTTGCCCTATCTCAATAACCTACTATATAGCAATCATCTAAAATTTATAGAAAATTGATTGACCCTAATTAGATTACTAGATCACTTGATTATTCTGATTTAGGAGATTCTTAAACAAATACAACAAAGAAAAAAGTCCCATAAAATCAAAGACTCAATAAATAATTTTAAGTAATCCATAATAGGATGAGATTAATTTTGGATTCCTACAAAAATAGAGAACGAGTATTGTTGAAGTATATTGCCTCTTTACAAAAAGAGATTATTGCTCTAAAATAAACTCGTTATTAAACAATATGAATATTATTTATTTTCTTCCTTTGTTATTTATTTAATTTTAGAATTAATTATGTCCGAAAGCATCAAAAGGAATGCCAAATCATTTACACCTTATATTGCAAAACCTTCCGATATCCCTTCAGTTGAAGCATCTATTGATCCTCTCAGATAATTTAGACCACTCATAAAAGTTTAAACTTCAACAGACCCTTAGGTCTAATAGATGTCAACTGATCAACCCTTTTAAACAAATCTATTTTACAATACTCCATTCACTCCATTAGATATTTCATCAAGAGTGTCATTGGATGGAACTAATGAATACTTGTTAAATCACTAAAAAATTGTAGGACCACTTGTAAATAGTTCTCTTGATAGTAAATCAATGTAAAAACAACTTGATGTCTTGCAATCCTAAAGTCGTTTTTTTGCTTCTATGATGCCATTCTTCTATAATTCACCTATTCAATCTTGTTATCCTTATTTACATTAGCAATACCAAAATGAATTGCCACGCCAATCAAATAACAGTTTGGATAAATAGGTTAAAATCAATAAAACAAACATAACCTAACCATTTACAGTGAATCCATCCTCTTTAGAATAACCATAACAAATCTAATCTTAAAAGCATTTCAATACAGGATAGGAGAAGTGGTTAAGACGTGTTAGCTCATGTGAAAGTGTGCTATTAAAAGAAGAAGAAGTCAGTAGTTAGAAAAAGCAAAAAGAGGTCAGAAATGAATAAAAATTAGCAAAACGTATAAGAAAGAGAATCCCTGTTTAAGAAAGTTTAGATTCATTTAGAATCAATCGAAAGAAAAAGGGACCTAAGGTCAATGATACCAAGAATATAACTAAAAATTTTTCAAAGGCTATTATATCTTATATTTTAAACGAAAAAGAACTAATTTAAAAATTCATGTCTAATGAATAATATGATAGTTTCATTGCTTTATTAAAGAATAAAAAGAATTAAATGACCAATATCAAATAGCTTAGAGATCTATGGGTAGACACAGGGAGGAATCCTGAATTTAATAAGGTATTTAGAATTATTAGGTATTTTTAAATGTTTATATATAGTCAATATTTTCTGAAAAGTTAGGCTGTTCCATATGTTTACAATTCAAGAATATCAAACACAGCTTGGCATCTCAAATATAGATAAAACTTATTAAGAGCATTAAGAGAGCCTGAAAACTTTAAATTTATTAAAGATATTTGATTTATCTTGATTAAATTAATTAAGATTATATTATATTATGTTATTACTAAAATATATCTAATAAAAATATAAAATATTATAAAACATAAATCATATCTATATAAATTATTTTAAAGATGAACAGTAACTAGATTACATTAATAAAAATTTATGAATTCATAATATTTTTAAGTATAAAAATTGATAGTATTAATTCTAGTATTCATATCTATAAATTCTATCAACTAGGTATTTCTTATTATATAAATATCTAAAAAAATATCATAAACAATTTGAATATCCAATTTTATTTAAGTACAAACAATATTATATAATTTACAATCTATCTAAAAGATTTAAAATAAATTATTAAAAATTAGATCACATTTAATTGGAAATACCATTTATGTTAAGTAATCATAATGCTCAATAAATTTCATTTATATATTAATGAGGCTTAAAAGATTTATAATTTATTACAATTACATATAAAATTGATCTTAATCAAATAATTTTATTACACAAAATAAAATATACCATTAATATTATAAATTAATGAAAGTTTATTTACATTCATACCACTAATTTTATCCAAATATATTAGTTCTTCTATTAATATTCTTCATTGTTTTACAAAAAGAAGATTAAATTTGCAAGAGATATAAATAAAAATGTGAAAAATTTAGATCAATACTTTGATTTTGAAAACTTGACAATTTTATTTATTAAATATAAATAAGGATCTATTGTATGTGATAATTTAATAAAAATATATTGTTAATGAATTCAAGTATAAATCATTTAGTTAGATTTAGGTTCAGCATAAATAAGAATGAAATTCATTAATACAATTGAAAACAATGAATTTAATCTAAAATAATTAAGTGTATCTACATTAGTGTTTGAGATCGAAATAATTTGAATTGAGAAATTTGTGATTATAGTATTTTGGATTGAGTATATTAAGCTTTTTAATATGATTAGGATGAATATAATTTTAGAAATTAGGTAGTTTAGGGAATAGTTATGAAATTAAGAATTCTATAAATTTATATAAATATTTATGTGTTGTGGAGACAATTAACCAAAGAATCAACCTAAGGCAGGAATCAAAACAAAATCAAATACTCCTGGATAAAAGAAGGACATTAAAGTTGTAATGCTTGGTGATAAGGCTGTAGGAAAGAGTTCAATTGCTTCAAGATTCTGTTTTGATAAGGTATATAAATCCATTTAAAAATATAATAGTTTCAATCTGAATATGAAATTACAATTGGGGGAGTGTATAATAGTGTAGAGATGAATGTAAAAGGTATTTGATATAATTTAATAATGCATAGGTTAAAACTTAAAGATCCATTTATGGGATACGGCAGGAGAAGAGAAATTTAGATCTCTACTTTCATTATATTATAGAGATGCAAATGCAGCCATCATTGTATATGATATTACACAAAGTGAATCCTTTTAATCAGTTTCAACTTGGCTAAAAGAATTAGAAGAAAAGATTTAAAAGGATGGTAATAATGACTGAAATAATTGAGGAATGGCTCTGGCTTTAGTAGGCAATAAGTGCGATTGCTTAGAATCTGAAAGAAAAGTACCAAAAGCTAAGGCTACAGATTTTGCTAAGTAGAATAATATGATATTTTATGAAACATCTGCTAAAACAGGAGAAGGTGTTAAGAATTTATTTTAGCAATTAATTGAGACATATGTATCAGAGAACATGTGAATATTAATCTTAAATATAATTTGCATTCCTACTGAATATTTAAATAATTATATTACATCATTCTCCTCTATCTTATATATTAATTAAAATACCAAACAACCAATTATATCCTAACATTTATTGATTGGCAAAAGTTTTATTCTTATTAATTTAATTAATTGGACCTTACAAAAATTAAAAAGATGTAGCAATTTAAAAAACAAGATGACTCTTAACTCATAAATAAATTCATCAAAACTATGTTACAAATTAACGATTAGTTTTATTGCTATGAACCCATTAAAATATTTTTATTCATAATTAGCATGAGCTAGACTATATTTTATCTAAATTTTTAAACCTATGAGTTTTTTTAGAAAAATATTGATGTAATTAGTTCAAGCAAGAAGATACTCTATATTCTAAGACCTGAGATAATTATACTTTAATATTTACCAGATAAAATACTATTTGCCATTCCTTACATTATAGTTTTATTAATACTAATGATGAAATTCATAACTTATTTAAATATCAACAATCAACATTTAAGATATGCAAAAAGATGGAATAAATCTAATCCAATTCAAATGATGTTAATCAATATTACATCCTTTTATTAGTAATTATTTAATGTTATATTACATTATCCTTTTCAAACACTTGTTGTTTGCACTATTAATAAAGCAATGTAAAATATTTTAAATTAAAACTCTAATTACATTGTATTATTGATTTTTTCAATTCTTATATTTTTGCTTTTAGAGGCTGAATCAATATCATTAATTTTTATTTGTAGAAAATCAACAACATTATAAATTTTTGCTTTTGAACAGTTTCTAATGTCAACCTTTGATATTCTAATTTATATATAGCAAATATCTTAAATTATTGTTTTTGGAATTTCAAGTTAAAATATTTTGGTGAATTATTTGTAGCAAATTATAACACTTTTTATTGCTATTTTTAAAATTTTAAATTAATTACATTATTAAGGATATATCTTTCAATATCAAAGATATATCCTTTATATTATTAATTCTATTATTATTATATATACTCTCTTTTAATTTATTGATCTTACATATAATGCAATATTGATTTGGCCATTATTTACAAGTGTTATAATCTATGCTGATCGTCAATTTTAATTTAATAGTATTTATTCATTATTCCTTGAAAATTCAACAAATTTAAATTATTATGTTCATTAACTTATGAAAATATCCAATAATTGCTATTAAAATGAGATACTTCCTATATAAAATACTATTATTTGGATTCAACATAAACTTAAGTGTAAAGATCCTACATGCTTATGCAAAGAATTAATAGAGAAAGTCTTGAATCCTTCTTAAACAAATATAATTACAGATCCAATTTTTAATTCCTTCATTTATACCAAAATTAATCACATTAAAAAAATAATTTATTCTAATTAAAATTAAAATAAAGTTGATGCTGCTTTTTATGAAATTGTTCAAGCTACTTTATTTATGAGATAAGGTTTCATTTTGATGGCTATCAAAAATTATAATAGAATTTTATTTTAAGCTAATGATTAACATAGAAGGAGAGTAATTTCATAAGAAAAATCATTAATATCTTAAAGAAGGGGTAAGAAAAGCTTTATTGATTCTTAGATATAGGAGATTATCAATATATAATAGAAAAAGGATGAAAAATATGTGGTTGGAAGTAAAAATTATCAAATATCAAATCTTGAAATTATCAAAATTGAATATAGAATTATTCAAGCATAAATGCATTTAAATGAAAATTTTAGTTCATATGTTTGTAATCCATAATAGCATTAAATGTCGGATTGTATATTCTACTATTTACTAAATGAATTTGATTTGAACCTAGTTATATCAAAGATTATTAATTTAATTAAAATGAAAACAGAATTTTATTGTTATCTATTGAAATCAGAAAATCTTAATGGAAATCACGTTTTTAATTAGATAAGTAAATTCTCTAAAAGAGTAATTAATGTTGAAGATACCTTATTAAACAATTATAATAAATATTCGAGTGCCAAATTAAGGCATTTAATAATATTCTTTTATTTTAAGATATATAATAGTTATTTGAAAGCTCTAAAGTTTAAATAAATTAATAATATTTAACATGAAAAATTTATTTATAGAAATCAAACAATAGATTTTTATTCTAATAAAATTGGATATATATTATTGTAATTATAAGATGATTTATAAAATTTAATAATCAAATCTTATTCTAGTAATTTTTTAAAAATTATTAATAAATCAAATGATGAGAAAAAGTTAATTTTCTATGATGTATTACCTGATTTTATAAAAGATGCTCATCCTATTTTGGTTCAAAGATTTGTTTAGACTGGTTAAGCAAGATTTTATAGAAATTTAAGTTTGACATTTATTTAATAAGATAATGGATTAGCTAAATAAATGGAATAAAGTTTTGATACTACAACTCTTTTAAGTGATAATAGAATAGTTTTTGGTGCTGTGATATAAGATGTTATAGATTAGAAAGCATATTTATTAGTAAATGTTAATGGTTTACTATCAGGAATGACATTTATGTGTTTAAGAAAGCTTGGGTTTACAATTGAATAAATTTCAAGTGTTAATAACTTTTATTCATTTTATGAAATAGAAATAAATTAAATAGTTCCTAATTTTAATCGATTAATAGAAACTGATTTTTCTGAATAAAAGTTTGATAACTAAAGATTTTTATTTTTAGATATTTCATGCAATTTTAATGATATAATAACTAAATCAACATCTTAAGGAGGTAATTAATAATTATCTAAAATTTGGTAGAATAATAAATTAGTAAAAGAGTATTAAGTAGATTTATATATAATGAAAAGAAATGTATTTGGATTCTTCTATTATATTATTGAAATCGAATCAGCTTATTAGATTGATTATTCTCAATATAGTAGAAATCCTTAGTCATTTTTAAAATATAAAAATAATGATGAATCTGCAGTTTTTGATGTTGATTCCTTAATCCTATCACTTTAAGAAGATAATTATAAATAAGAATCTGAATTATAAAAGTAAGAAAGTAGATAGATAATGAAAGAAGAAGTTATAAAAAATATAGAATTTTAAGGAATTCTTCAAAAAGATTTAATCACACCAAATGATGTTAGCAAATTAAATTTAATTGAATAACAACCATAATTAATCAATACATTACAAAAATAGAATATATTTCAGTAATAAGACTTTTTTTGTTAATCACCTTTAGCTTCTATGGGATAACATTCAAGCAATTAGATTAGATCATAAAATTAAAATTAATTAGATTTAATTTTAGATATGAATTCAGAATCAAGTTTGAATTCTTCAAGAAAACCATCATTTATTTAGAGATTAGAATCAATAGAAAGATTTTATTCGAGTTTTAATTATTAGTAATAACAAATTCTATTATTTATTTTACTTTTAACTTTGATTGTGTGTTGTATATTCTCTATATTAATACTATCACTTCTTAAATCTGATCTTTAGAGTAAAATTCAAAGTATTGAAATGTTATCTTTTTAAGCCAATATTTTGGCACCTTATGATAGATATCTAGGCATCAGATCTTAAATTAATTATTATTAAGAATTATAAACTTAAAATAAAATAAGTTATGAATAATAGATAGATTTAGTTGAACCTCTTTATTCTATAATAGACATATGTTATAATGAGCTTAAATTGAATTTGTATTCATCCTTATTGGATATAGATCTTAGCGAATTTTTTAAGGATTAATATACAGATACATTCTTTATGGGAACTAATGATTAAATAATTGAGTCTAAAAATATTACATTTAGAGAATTTCTACATTAATTACTAAATTATTAGTATGATTATAAAATTATATTGGATAATAGAATTTAAATGAAAGGTTGTCCTTGTTAAGTTTTCTAATTTTCTAATTATTTTAATTTATATGATAATTTAGAATAAATTTCTTAAGATATATTAACTTATTCTATAAATATATGTGAATAAATGATTAATAAATGGAGAATAATATGGATATCATTTGTAATTGTATGTTGTTTACTTTGTTTTTTAATTTATTATTTAAGATTAATGTTAGCTTTATAATGTGATACAATTATGGAAATTGTAACACATATTTAAGAATAAAGTTTAAAAAATGAAATAGAAAATTAAAAGAGTTTAATTACTGGTATTATTTCAGATAATGATTTAATAAATTCCTATTAATTAGATTAATAAACTGAGAAATAATAAATTGATACTAGAACTGAAAATCTGCATTTTCGAAAACCAAAAAGAAAAATATTAATTCGTACATCTAAAATAAAATCTATTATATTTTCAATAACAATCTTAGTTTTATATTTAGTATATTCTGGTTTTGTGATATTTTCAAGTCAGAATTTTGTAAATCTTTACTTATAAACATAATAATTATATAAATTGATAGCTGATTTATCATTTAGAAGTGGAAATTTATTTATATATAGAGAGATGTTGATATAATGGGAATAATAACAATATTTAAATAAATCTGATGGATAAAAATTGTACAATCTCATAGATAATGGTTAAGACATTATTTTAGAATATATAGATTTAGCTCCACGTGTTACTTTAGATGATTTACTTATTTCATAAGATTTTCTAACATTATTTGATTAAATCTAAAATACTGATATATGTAATTATTTGGATGAATAATATTCTTAAATATTAGAATAATATTGTTTAAAAGCACTTGATGGATCTTTAATCAAAGGAATGTTAACTACTCTTACATATATTCATCTAACAATTAAAAATTAATAAGATATCAATAATTTTACAAATAGAGTTGAAGACATATTTTATGAAATTGAAGGTGGTTAAATAGTTAGTAGAGTATTTTCAAAAATGAATTAGAAATTGTAAAATGGAATTATAACTAAGACTGAAAGTTTTAATTTCTAAAATAAAGTAATTATTTATTTATTATTATTTTAGTTATTATCAATTTTCTTTCTTTTAGCTCTATTTTCAATATGCTTTTATATTCTATTATTTTATTATAATAATATTAAGTAGAATCTCAAAATGATGAAATTTAGTGTTTTCATGATCCCATATAAAGACATACTCCAAAATGACATATTTGAAAAGTACTTAAAATAAATTGAATTGAAATTAGGTTATAAATTATGACAATTTTATAAACAATCTATTTTAATCAAATCTTTTCAGTGAATTCATATTATCTTAATGCTCTTTCTAAAGAATTATCTCCTAGTAATACTTGAATAGGTATGAGATACAGAGATTTCTTATACATAGTGAATTCATTTATCAAAGAATTCTTAAAACAGGTTAGTATAACAATTGATATGGACAATTAGGTTACAAGGAATATATAAGATAGAATCTATATATAATATATATAATTATTTATACTTCATTAGTGTAATTAAATTTATGAGTCAAATCGATCATTCCTTATTATAATTTTTATGATACATTAGAAAATACTTAACATATTATTTAAGCACCTTCCAATTCATAAAAATGTACTTCTATTCTTTTTGTAAAATTATTGATAGCTTACTAACTCCTAATAGCAGTAGATATATAATTTAAACTTGGAATCATACCTTTAAGTAATACTCCATCTAAAGAAATTGAACAATAAATTGTTAAATTAATGTATTACTAAAATTAATAATAATAAATAAATACAGGATCAATAAAATTGCATAAATTGGAATTTTCAACTTGAGTAATAAAATTTATATAATTATCTGAAAGTAAATAATTATCATTTTATAGATCACTCTAATCATTTAAGTATTATTGTATTATATTTTATGATTTTTCAACTAATTAATATAAACGATCTAAATCATTTGTTGTTAAATAACTAAAATTAGACCATCTAAAAAAGATTTCTCTATAAACATATATTGTACCACTTCTAAATCTCATATCCTAAACTAATCTATAAAAATCAGTTGTTTATCTATATTTTACAAGATAATTTTTTGTTTAATCATAAATTACAACAGAGTAAATCAAAAAATAAGCATACATAATAAATATTCTTAAAAATGTTAAAAATTAAGGTAATTAATTATTTTTTCTTAAATTATGTTTCTCAATTTTTTATTAATGAACCTTATTTTTTTTTTATTTAATTAAATCTTCTCTTTATTTAAAATCAAATTCATATTTTTAAATAATTTCTTAATTTTAAGTAGTAATCAATTAATGTAGATGTTTAAGTTTTAAAATCTCTTATTCTAATGAATTTCTATCTGAATAATAAAATAGACTTAATAATTATTCATAAGTTTTTAACATCCTTTTACGTACAATAACTAATGCAATTATTAATAAAAAAGATGTAATTTAATATATAATCCATAAAATTAACCATTAATCATTTGAATTTATACTTCTAGTTTTTGAATATACTAAAATTTCATTTGTTAATTATTCTAATTAATCTTATAAATTTAAATAATTTGCAAATTAAAACACTTAACATGGTTATCCTGCTGCATTCTTACGTTCATCAAAAATTCTTTTAAATTAATATTATGCATTAATTATTGTTAATAGTTCCTCTCTAAATGACAAATTTCGGCTATAAATTACTGTATCATTATTACCCATAAAATATACAGTTTCATACTTATCAATAAAAAATTCAGTTAAATGATCATTCTTTAAAATATTAAAAAAACTATTTTACAAATCAAAATAATAAGGAGCATTGAATTAAAATAATGGATCAATCAATTTTAATAAAGTAGTTTAATCTATAAACTTTTCTCTATATTATTGTTGATAAGCTGATACAGTTACTTTTATTGATAAATACATATCATGTGGTCCCATTATACTAGCATGTAAAGATATCATATCTATTTCTTAAATAAATTATAATAATTAAGATGACATAGCAGTCACAACAACTATTGTATATGATATCCAAAACATAGTTAATAGAATCAATAAAACTATATATATGATCATAGTATTAAACTTTTTATTTTTAATAATTTTCTCAATCATTTCAAATTTTTTAAACAATTAAGATTCTCTCACTCCTCCAATTGAAGATTATTAAGATTAAATATCATCATTTTAATCTATTTTCTTTTTACTAATCTATGATTTTTGAATTTCTAAAGATGATTTAATATTTGAATCCATTTTCAATAAATCAATATTGAAAAATTCTTATTAAGTATCATTTTTTCTTTCAGATAATAATTATCTTTAACTTTAATATGGAGCATGATTTTATAATTCATCTTTTCTAAATGATGCAATATTACAAGCTACTTCATCTTCTGATAAATCATTCATTTAAATATCCTTCTTTCTTATATCCATTACTTTTACTTTCTTTGCTTATGCTTCTATGCTTAAATTCATTAATGAAGCTATGCTAACAGAATTTTTTCTTTACTAGATAATAGGAGATCTAAATGGAGAATTCATATCAATATTTTGAATTGTTTAAAATTTAGAGACATCTTATGAAAATTTTGTCATTCTTGTTATTGATGAAAACTCAATTAGTAGATAAGATTATTGTTCAATAAATCGTTTAGTAATCATTACAGATATGTTATATAAACATACTTAATCTTCATTTTCCCATTATTATAGATCTAATATATATTGACTTAAATCAACTCCTTTTATTTATAGTTCTTTCAATCTTTTATCAATTAAAAATCTCATTTCAGTATTAATCTAAGAAGTTTCTGTTTCTGAATGATCTATTGGAAAATTTGGAATAAGATATTGTAAATTAAGAGAATTGATTACAATTGAAGGTAAATTCAATATAATTTTTTAATCAAATCCAATTTTTTAAAAGAAGTTTTCAGAAAAAATTAATTTTCTTTTACTACCATATGATAACATAAAACATTTTTAATCTGGTAACTCTTGTAAAAATGCAGCAAATACTAAATTTTAATTTAATATATTTTAGTGATATCATATGTTAAAAATACTGTTTTCAATAGTCCAGTTTTAGTTTATATAAAACTTTAATTAAAACTTTTATAAAATCGAGATTAACCATTTATAAAAAAATTATTTATTATTATTGGATGAAAATGTCTCATAAAAGTAGGTAATAATTAATAAAATTAAAGATCTTTATAGGTATCATAACCTATTAATTACAAAAGATAAGATGAACCTAATTCAATATTGAAATCATCTAAGTCTCCTTTAATTGATAAAATTATAAATGCTGTCTATTCTACTTAAATTTCATAATTTCTTATTTTTTTATTTCTAAAGATTTTATCATCTGTCATGGATGTAATTGATGATGTTTTATTGGCTTCATAATAATTATTCAATAATTCACTTTGAAAAAAACATAAACATCTCTACATACTTTTACAAGGATATTAATCATAGATCTATTTAAGTCTCTATTTCATTTTACTTAAATTGATACAAATTTTTGTAGTCTAAACTGCTAAATGATTTAGGTTACGTTTCTCATCTTTCATAATTGAATGATAAAAGTTAATTTTCTCATGTATCATATTTAAAGTTTATGTTTGTATTTCTCTTAAACATTTATCATAATTCAAAAATGATATTATAAAATCAGAAACCATTAATTATTAAAATGCATACATAGATGTTCCCAAAAATGATTTTAATTTAAATTTAGCTAAGTGTAAAATATAATTTAATCTACAATATTAAGTCATATCTAACTATATCTTAACATAAATAAATTAAGGAAATTATTAATTAGATCTATCCTTTTTTGTAAATGATTAATTTTATGGATCATCTAAATTTTTAGTCTATTAAACAGTATTTTTAATCATTATATTTTAATTATTTTCAAAACAATTCAAAAATTAAGTTAGATTTTTAATACAATCTGTCAACCATCCAAAATCAAAATAAAATAAAGTTTGTACAAATAATAATTCATTTATTTAAGCATTCTTTTATAAATTTTTAGTATCTATTATGTAATTTATTCTGGATTTCAGAAATTATTTTAGAATTGCTTAAGTAATTGCATTAGCTTATGAAATTTCTAAAATGTATAACTTATTAGAGCAAATACATTCTGATTTATCACAATTTTTACGATGAAAATTATTGATCAATGAAGATTTTAAGGGATTCATTTTGATATTGATATCACATTGATTTAAGATCATTTTTAATTGATGAATTAAAAGAGTTATAGATGATGAATCTTTGAAAATATTAGCAAATAGACTATTATTAATTTCAGAATCTAGAGTAATAAATGAATATAATATTATAGGATATATGAGCATAGGAATAATCAAATATTAAGAATTTACAACAGGTTGAAAGTAATAGCAAGAAAATGTAAATTTAAATGCATTTATAAAATATAGTAATTATCTAGATTCCTTATAAATATAAATGTGATTTATGAACTAATTAGTAAGTTATGAAATTATTTCAATTAATAATAAAATTATGTTTACAATTCTAATTTCTTGATTGTCTTAAAGAACACAAAATATTATAATTTACAATTATTAGACTGAATAAATAATGTAATGCAGTATAGTTACTTTTGTTATGTCTAAATAGTGATATTTATAAGTGAGTGGTGTGCTACAAAGAGAAAATGTGAAAATATATTCAACTTACCATAAGATGTACGTGAATGTTGATAGAAATAAATGAATATATTAATCTCCATTTCTTATTGCATATGTTAGACTCATCATACAAAATGTTGAACTTAACAAATGTAAGGCTGTTAATTATAATTACATTATAGTAGCTAGAATTCTTAATGCCTTCTAGATTAAATTAGACTCATCAATCTTTTAGAAAGAGAGTGCTCTGTCTTTAATATGATAAAGGTAAAATGTGATAGGAATTTATAATGCTTTTTGAAATAATAAGATTGCTAGTACAATCAAATAGAGTTGAATCTAATTGAAATTCTAATCTAAGAGTAGTAAATCCTATCTGAATAATAACAAAATTATTAGATGAGGTAAAGAATTATCAGTATGATGCATTTACAATCCCGTTTCTATTATCATAAAGATTGGCTAAATCAATAATACAACTTATAAGAACAAAGATAACCTTTTAGGGATAATAGTGTAATGCTTCAAAATTATCATCATTTAGAACCATTATTGGGTGAAACTAGGTTAATTTTAATTATATATCATATTTAATCAATAATCCCCAATGTATTTTTCATTTTTGATATCCATGTTTCTAGATATTTTAGCAGAGGTGATTTGTTGATTATTAATAGGTGATTCAGAAACAGGTTGTAAGTATTTCTTATCAAATGGCCATTTCTCTATTGTAACTTATGGATCTTCGAAGTAACTGCTTGAGCCAAAGTACACTTTCACATCACTAACTTTTCCCTAAAATAAATCAAACAACATAATACATAGAATTCTGCGAAATTTTAGTCTTTTACAATATAAAAATAAAACACATTTGGTATAACATGTAAGGCTTCAATTTTTTTTTAATATGCTTATTTAACTTATAAAGCATAAGCTAATGCATTTCCTTTTTTGTATTAGAAAAATACATAAGTCCATTATAATTATTCAACTTAAATCTCTTCTACTTTCTATTCAAATTCTGGTGTATCAAGTAATTTATATGTATTATAACTCAATTTATCATTCAATATACTAACAAGTAGAGTTCTATCTCCTAATTGTTAATCTTTCATAAATTAGGGATGATTAGTTGATAACCTGGAAATAATTCTTGGAACTATTGGCATTCCAGGTAATAAAGGAGATTATTGTATCCACATTCCATATGAATATTCAAGAGATTCTTATTTATCCAAAAATTTATAATTAATAACATCAGCATTAATATTTTCAGTTGTATCCATTTAAGGAATAGTCCATTTAAAATCAGCCAAATCAACTGCTGGTAATGGTAATTTACGATGAATTTTTTGAAGTAAATCTACAACTTTTTGACTTTCATTAATAAAACTACCTTATCCTAAATATAAACGTGGATCAAAAAGCCAACCATGAAATTGACCATGTCCAAATTCAGAAACACCAATTAAAAATTTAGCATATCCCACTAAAGGTATATGTTTTGTTGTTAATTCTACTTTCAAAGCTTTAGCTGTATCTCTTACAATTATTATACCTACTGTTTATCCATCTTTATATCCCATATATATAAAATTCCATGATCCTTCAATTTAATCATATGCAACTAAACTATTTACTGCAAAGTTATTTGTTGCTATATCATAACTGCTGAAATCATAAGATCCCTTATTTAAAAATGCACTCAATACTCTATCTTATATTTATGATTTATCTTAATGTTCTTTTTTAGCTGTTAATCTAAAAATAGAATGTGATTCCTTTCTCTCTACTAAATGATCAGGGAAATCTGTTAACCATCTTGTCCAAATACCAACAGCATATTCAGTTACAGAATCAATTTCATTAGTAAATTCTTAAACAATAAATTCAGGTGTCTATATTACAGTATCTTTATTTGAATTCCATTAGAATTATTTATTTGGTTAAACCAAACCATAATATGGTAATTATTATTAATAACCATTCTTCTTTAAACTTACATAACCACCTTATCCATATGCTGCTGTCCATTTATTCATTTATCCAATAAATTTATTAGTAAATTTATCTTATCCAATGTACAATCCCAAATAATTAGGTACATAATGTTATACTTATTCCCAAGTTATTGGTTTATCTTCAATTAATGTATGCAATAGACAATGAACCTCACTTGTTCTTTAATTGTAACCCATATAGATATAATTCCAAGCATAATTATAATCATTCAATTCTAATTAACCATCCATAAATTTAGGTTCATTTGCATCTTTTAAATCTACTAATGTGTAAGTTGAATACTTAATCAATTATGTATTACAAATAGTAATGTGTAAGGTTCTATCTCCTTAAGATTTTCTATCATTTAAGATTTCAACATTATTATTAGTTAATCTTAAAATTAATTAACAATCTGTATTTCCTGTACCTGTTGGTTTAATCCATCCACTAAAAGCATATTCACTAATTCCACTCCATCTATTACCTTCAAATTGTATTCCATTAGTAATATCAATTTAATTGACATCTTCAATAATTTCAAACTTCCCATGCTTTTCTTTATCAATATATTCTTATGTCAATTAAAATGGCAAAGAAAAAGTAGTATCTATTTAAGCCTTGAATTAATCTTATTATTTAATGTAAGAGCCAGGACCAATCGATAACATAATTTTGGTAATACTTCCTTAAAAACCTGTAATTGTATCTTCTTTTCCTATTCTAAATAATAAGTAATCAGTTAATGGTTTATGTAAAATCTTGTCTATTTTCATTTCAGTTATTGTTGTATCATAAGTATAACATGAGATAGTCTCAATATCTTTGCTGTAACCCATATAAATATATCTCCAGATACCTTCTAATTAATTATATTTCACAAATTTTTATTATATTCCAGCATCAGTATTGAGATCATAAGTTGATATTTAATAATAATTAAATACAATATGAGTAGCTAGAACTCTGTCTCCTGGTTTAATAACACCATCTGTAGTTTATTTATTGATTGATAATCGTGCTAATTACATTAGAGCAGGTTTTGTTAATTATCTTTAAGGAATAGTTGTGAGATAACGTGTCCACATACCAAAAGCATATTCTTGCATTTAATCAAATGGATATTGAAACCCATTAAATAACTCAACTTTCAGAGAACTTATAGTTTCATCACCATCTGAAACTAACATTATTTATTCATTCTTCTCCCATGTAACTTTTTTTTATTTAGGGAATAGTTTATCAGCAACAAGATATTCTGCTAAAAATGGTATCTTACTATTAGTATATGAACCTGGACCTATTGTAAGTGCAATTTAAGCTAAATTGCCTTCAAATCTTTATTGGATATTATCACTACCTACATAAATCCAGAGTCTATCACTTATAGCATGTAGGATAATTTCTTCACTTTTACATATATACTCATCTACTGAAAGATAGTAATAGAACTTTTATTTACTCTTACTATATCCCATATAAATAAATGACCAATTGTGTTGACTAAGTTCTGGAATTTAACAATTATAAGGAATACCAAAACTCATACCTTTCAATAAAGTATAAGTGGAGAATTCCATATTATCTTTATTATTTTTAAAAAAGGCAAGAGTTCTATCACCAACCCATGATGAATCAGATACTTTACCTACAGGATTCTGAGTAACTCGAACAACGGTTTCTTTGTTGTCATTAATTTTTTGGAATTATTTATACCATAAAGCTAAAGAATATTCATTAGTTGGAAAATCAATCATTTAGGGATTATTTGGTATAACCTTATAATTGTCAATTTTTCCATCAATAATGGTATATTTATGAGAAACATCATAAGGAACATTAGGCATTATGTCTGTGTTCTTAATTCTTTATAATATATCATTTTTAGATTCAACAAAGGCACCATTTCCTAATCTAAATTTGATACCTGTCAACTATCCATTAAAGTTTGGATAATATTTTCCACTATGACCAATTGTAAGTTGAGCATAGTTACTAATTGGATTATGTAATGCATCTATTTTAAGTTCATCTACAATATCCATTCTTCCTACATATCCCATAGCAACACCTTAAGTTTAAGATATTCGTTTATAACTATAATAAATATAAACCCATTCAGATTCATATTCCATTTAATATTATAAATTACTGAAGATATTAGGTTAACCTATTGTATAAGTTGAAAATTAGAATATTCCTTATGATTTTTCATCTTCTCCTTTTCCAAATAGTATCATTAATACTCTATCACCAACATTATCAGCATCTCTATAATCTTTATTGGTTGTCAATCTACTCAATCCCATCCATTTAGGTTGACTATAGAGAATACTAGCTCCATAATATCTGAATCTTATCCACATTCCATAACCATATGAACTTACTCCTTCTATTTTAACATCTGATTACTCATTTAATTCAATCATCCATGGAATATTTTATTTATCTGCTTATGAATCTATAACTTTATTACTATGATCTATTTCTTGATTTGCTGTTTACAATTTCAAATGATCAGTTCCACTATTAAATCCAAAATTTAATTCTACAGTTTCACTTTATTCATATCCATTTTCTAAATAAGAACCATCTCCAACATTCAATACCCATTATTTCATTGAACCTAACCATTAATTTGCTAATTGATATTTCTTTCCCAAAAATATAGTAAATGTTGACAATAATATTCTATTAATTTCTTAAAATGTTTATTATTATTAATTAAATGTGAATTTACATAATCCAAATAATTTCTTCTATTTTTATGTATACCCAATATAAATAAATGTCCATTAATTATAATATTCATTAAATTCAATATTCTTCTCCTATGATTATGAACAATCTTCTCCATTACAATTATAAGTTCCAAATATATAATCCTTATCTGTTCTTTATACATATAATTAACTATCACTCTATCCTGGTTTAATATCTTATTACTTCTTCTAAACCATCATCAATATACTATATAATCCTCCTTGTTTTTAATCACCTCCCCATTTAATCCAACCTGATAATGCATATTCATTAACACCTGAATATTAAGAATACTCAAATAAATTTTCAGTTTCCTTCACTTTTATCATCTCTGTCTCTTAACCCAACAATTAAATACTCTTACGAACTGCTTAACTTAAACCTAAAATTGGTTTTTCTAATTTTTAAAATTATTCATATTATGCAATATCAACAAAAAATGCTCCATTTCCTAATCTCATCTGTATATTTGCTAATTTACCATTAAATTGTGGAATATTTGATTTTCCTACATTCAATTCAACATATTCTAAAATAAAATCATGTAACACTTCAATTGTACATTCCTTTACTTATCCTCCAATACCAAATTAAACATAACCCTTAGCTAAACCCATATTATTGTTCATTCTCTTATAAGAAAATGATAAATAATTCCAGGATCCTTCTAATTAAGAATCTAAAGCAATTACACCTTTTTTAATGTCATTACTTATTAAATTATAAGTTGAAAATTCATATTCTTTCTTGCCCAATCTCATTTATAATGTAGTATCTTTAATATCATTATTTACTTATCCATTAACACTCTATATTAACTTATTATTCTTCAACTCTAACAATTTACTCTATGTTCCCATTCTAGCAATCTAATGAAAATCACTTCTACTTCCTAAAAACTTTGGAAAACTACTTAACCAACATGTCCATAAACCTATTGAATATTCACTTAATCCATTTATTCTTATATTATTATCATCTTAAATTAGAATTTGATTTATAATTGAATCTTATTAATCAAATGATATTTCATATTGATCCTATTATCCTCTCATTACTAATGGTTTCACCAACTAAAATAATCTTACAGCTCCATCACCATATCCAAAATTATAATCTAATTTCTTAGATTTTGCATAACTTTCAGGTCCCAAATATACACCTACCTGAGACACTCTACCATTAAAAGAGGCAACTGTCTGATCTCCACCCAATGTAAAATATAATGAATTAGTATTCTTATGTTCTAGTCCTTCAAATAATACTTCCTCATTCACTCCTACTTTTATCATTATACCTTAAGCTTTCTTCTCCTCTTAATTAAATCCAAAATAAACATAAGTCCATACATTTGTTGTATATGGTACTGATTTCACTATCATCTCACTTCCTTTACCCTCATTACCAGTCACTGAATAAGTATGAAAATTCAATCCTATATTCTACAATCCTCTTATAAAATGAATTTCTAGAGCTCTATCACCTAATTCTCTTTTATCTTTCAATCTCTATTTATTTGATCTCAAATTCATTATCTAAAATGAATTCAATTCTTTCACATCCAAATTATCAACCCATCTAAACCAACCTGCTATTGCATAATGTTCATAAATAAAAGAATCCTTAAATCCTTTCTCAAAACTACAATTTGTATTTCCATCCATATCAACTGGTGGCCCTACTATCACTTCCTCATGATAAGTCTTCAATCCTTATGGCATAAAAGACATTGTTTCAACCAAATTAAATAATTCCTATTCATTATCAATCAATGCAGGAGCTTCTATATCGTAAAAGATATTTGCAAATTAACCTTACAATCCTGGATAATGTAAATGCTTCCCTCCTACTGTCATTGACATATAAAATGGTGGAGCATGAGTACATGGTATCTCAATTCTCTAAAATTCCCTACCCTTACCATATGTTAAAATAAATCCTACTGATTTCTATTTACGACTACTATACGAGAATGACACAAAATACCATCTACCATCTATATTTTGATTTAAACTTATTTAAGCCACCTTATTCTTCTCTCTTCCAACATAATCATAAGTAGCAAATACAAATGAGTTATCCACCAAAAAGTTTGCCAAAGTCCTATCACCATAATTTTAAAAATCCAAATAATCCTTTATAGAAGTCAATCTAGATAAAAAATGATATTAATTTTATTGCATCTTGTGTTCTAATGTACTCTAATACCTCATCCAAAATCCATATCCATACTCTTCAGAATCTTATAATTCTTTATTTGAAAATTGAATTTCATAAGATGCTTTTCCTTCTATTGTTGAATCATAAAATTTCGATTATCTAATCAAAATATTTGCTGTGCTCTATAAGGGTTTATGTTTGAATGGAACAAATTTAACTGGGTCAATAATTTAATCAGGATTCTCATCAAGCCCTTTAGTAGGGATTTAGGATTATGTATCTGGAATCAATTCTGTAGGTAAGGATGGTTTTTATTCGCTAACCTTTTGAGGTTATAATTGACTTTAGTCAATTTCTATGGAAGGTTATTAAGATGGGTCCTTTTATTAAGTTTGAGGTTCGGTTAATTAATCAGGTATTTTTATTTATTAACTATTATCTTACTATTCTGAAGTCTATAATGGATTAGGTTATGAATTTTATTATTATGTATCAGAAGGCTATTAATTTCCTTATTATTATACTTATTGAACTGCTCCTTATTAAGCAGATGGTTACTCACTCTATAAAGGATTAACTTGTTAAGCTTATGGTTATTATTAATTATTAACTTATTAAGTTTCTTATTATTTAGCTTATTAATTTATAACTTCCTAGTCTTATTAATTATTATTTGTTGTTTAATTTTATTAAGATTATTGTGATGATTGCTATTATGTAAGTGGTAAATCTTTTGTTTAAATATTTTAATCTTAAGTTTACAAAGTATTTTATTATTATTATTATTATTATTATTATTATTATTATTATTATTATTATTATTATTATTATGAATTTGTTGCTTATTATTATTATTATTAATCCTACTATTATGGCTATTATTATTAATCTTTCTATTATTGTTATTATTAATCCTACTATTATTGCTATTATTAATCCTACTATTATGGCTATTGTTATAAATCTTTCTATTATTATTATTATTGTTATAAATCCTACTATTATGGTTATTATTATTAATCTTTCTATTATGATTATTATTATTAATCCTACTATTATGGTTATTATTATTAATCTGATAATTTAAATTCTTCTGCTTAAACTTTGATTTAAGTAGTTTGTTTCAATGAGTCTGGTATATCTGAAATATCTTAAATGGTTTCTGTCTATTCATCTTATATATGATTTAATTATAACTGAGTTTAATTTTATTCATCATTATCATTATAACTATCTGATGATTCATTATTTTACTAATCTTAGATAACATATTCATACTATATTTCAGAATTATTAAAATCTTCTATATATTCAATTTCTGAGTTATCCTCTTATTCAACATCATCAAGATTGACTTTATCAGTTATCACTTTATTATTTTGTTCATTGTCTTGATTTTAAGAATAGTTATTATCATATTCATCAAGTGTTGATAATTCTTAACTTGGAGATATATTTTATGAAACATTTTCTTACTCAATTTAATAATCAAAATCTTGTTGTTGTTCATAATCATCATTATTTAATTTAATAAATCTTTATTATTTTTAATTCTAAATTGGTTGAATAGTTTCTACATCTTAATCAGTTTATTAAACATATTCTTATTCTTCTTATATATCAATTTAATTATCATTATTATCTTAAAATTCTTAATCATCTTGAACATCTGATTATTAATAATTATTATCTGTTTATTTTTTCAAATGATCTAAAATATCATCAAAAGAATTTATTTCTTTTAAATCATCATTATTTTTTTCTTAATTTTAAACATCTTAATCCTCCAAAATATGTGAATCTTAAATAATATTATATTAATTCTATGGATCAAGTGCATCATATGGTTTTGAATCCTATTCAACATAGTAATCTGTAAAGTCTTAATCCTATTATTCTTCTTATTCCTATACAGGAAAGTAATTATTATCATCTTCTTCATTATTTAGAAATGTTGGATTTTAATATTGTTAATCAGAATCTGTATCTGAAAAGTCTTAATCCTAAAATTATTCTTCATTATAATTCTATTTTTAAATATTAGGTTAATGAATTTCTTAATCTCTCTTCTTTTTAATTTACTTTTTTATTCTAAGTTATTTTGGTTATTTTAATTATTTTTAATTTATTCTTGTTCTTTAATTTGATTGTTTTTTTGACTTACTTTAATATTGTCTTCCTTAATTATAATCATAATCATCATAATCATAATAATTACTGTAATCATAATCATAATCAGAATCACTATCATATAAAACTTATTAAATAGCATCATCATAATCATATTCATCATAATTATTTGCTTAAGAGTGATTATTTGTTCTACTAATTTTTTATTTACTTTCTTATTATTAATTTTAACATTATTGCTTTATTTACAATAATTATTTTAGATTAGAAGTTAGTTACTCTTTATCATAAACAGTAGCTTTTGATGATTGTGATAATATTTATTGCATTTTTTATTTTGTTGCTTAAATACAAACATCAATTTCAGTTAATAGATCTAATTTCTCTTTTTTAGATTGCTTTACATTCATTTATTACATTAACTTCATAATTTTTGCTAGATCTATCTCAAATTTAGCTTAAAATTCTTGTTTAGCAGGCATCTCAATTTCCATTAATGATTATTAATGCAATAGCTATTGTTTTGTATTTTTAACAATTTTCTCTACTTCCAACAATCCATTTAAATCATCTCCCAATTAATTATTTAACTCAATAGCTTCTTTCCACTAAATTGTGTCAGAGATCATTATATTTATGTCATCTAGGTCTTGGCATCTCAAATTTTGCATATTCAAACTAACTGCTTATTGAAGTGTTAGCTCTAAATAATTTATAGCTTTTACTTGAACTTGCAAAAGTGAGCAAACTCACAATGACTATTGTTACGTATGCGTTTTTCATAATATTAATAGGGAACTATTAAAAGAATTTAA